TTAGTGCAGCCTCAACTATACGCCTATTTTTCTATAGAAATGCGATATTCTCCAATCCATAATTTCCTTCTAAATCGTTGAAAGCGAGGCTTTTTTAATCATATATCTGATTGCCTGATTTATTAATTATATAATCAATTTTTTTTTTCTAAAAAGGACAGATTTATTGTGAGAGAGAGTGTAATAAGACAGTACTGTTTGAGAGTAACACCCACAGTATAAAAGAATTTAGGAAAAAAGTGGAAGATTCAAGTGTATAGAGTGAAATATGCGAAAAGCATAACTATCACTGAGTAAACCAGCAGTAACTAAATCAGGATAAGAGAGTGCAGTATTAAGAGTTTTCAAGCGAATCTGTAATACCCAATACGTATTACCAAACAATGTGTTTGTAATGAATTGGAAGTCTTTAAAATTAGATTTTGAAATAAAAAAAATTGGCAATAACCGTGTAAAGAGTATCTGTATCATTTTGTGTATATCAAAAGATAAAAGAAGAACCATCAAGACATAGGAAATTATTAAGTGAACTCAAGCCCCGTCCGAATTGCCGCAGCACTTGAAAAGCAAAAGATAACGGATGAGATCGTGTGGAAGGTTGAGGGCTTGAGAGCCAAGTGCTACCGTAAGCTTAAAGCACAAGAGAAGTCAGTGCAATAATTTACCTTTAACCCAAATTAACTTGTGAGCCAAATATCTGGTCATATATATTGCTCATTGTGATATTAATAGATATTATAATATCAAATATTGGTCCTCATAGTGCGATTTAAGACCTGTACATTGAATATGCTATCCTAATAGGTGCAAGCTAACTTTAGAATGTCACATGAGAATGTTTGCAAATGATAGAACAAGTATTCAAATAGTGATAAGACACATTAGTCTCATGTTTACAGTTGGACTAGTTGAAATAAAATAGTAAGTTTTTACCCTGTGATAGTTTCATGGAAGACTCTCAACAAGACCATGTTATACCGGTAGGAGAGAGTTAGCTGTGGAACTTTAAAATGAAGAGCAAGATTTTACTGGCATTAAGAGTTGTATGCCGATAAAACCAGACCTGTCACACTTACTGTATTATTGATTACCAATTAGGTGTGACACTACTATACTTCTCGTTGCTCATAGTTCTCACAAAGTTTTTACTTGAGTTTCTCACCTTAATGTGTGTCATATATCAGTTCAAAATTGTGCCTACAAAGGAGTTTTTTTCGCTCTAGAGAACTGTAGAAAATTATTTTGTTTAAATATGGTATGGGTGAATTTAGTGTAATAGGCTATTATAGTCCAGTTTCTTGCAGGATAATGAACTAGCTGGATTTTTTTACAATTAGGCAGTTTTTGCATACCTTGATGAAGAGTATTGTTTTAAACGGAGCATGTTCACTCAATCTAATCACAAGCTCTCAGTTGTTCTTTTTTTTCTATTTTGTTTTAGGTTAAATCTAATTTTGTACATGAAATTCCTGCTTCTTTTAACACAACGTGCTGTCTCATATGGATGGGATATACTCTTACAATCTTTGCGAAAACACTTCATTTTCTATGGTACTTAACGACAGCTATTATAGATTTTGCGTGACACAAATATACCAAGATATTTATTTCCAAAAAACACACACAATACATATAGACAATATATATATTGTTATTAGATACATATGATTTAATTAATTAATTCCAACCACACTAATAAATATTTAATGAAAACGATTCAGCAACATCTTAATACATTTGTTATAGTATTAATAATGTGGGTTTCATCTTTTTGTTATAAATTAGAACTTCCCACACACACACACTTAGAGAAGTATTTTTTCCCCTATCCTTTCGTAATAATTATTAAAAGAAGTTCAAAGGTGTATCTTGTCAAATTGCCCTTAAATGTCAAATTGTGGAAGTTGGGTTAATGAATAGTAGATCTACTAAACACTCATACTTAGACTAGACAATCAGGCAGGCTAATTATTGGCCTCTATAGGAATTTATGAATATATGCTACTAGTTAAAGTAAGTATAGCATTTTATATTTGTTAAGAGTAACCGCACTTCGACACCTCCTCTTTGCAATCAACCAAAGAACAGGTACCTAACAAGAAATAAAGAAAAGGTAACCATATTATTGTAAGTAAAGAAAAAGTTGAAGTGTCAACTGGCTCAAATCCGCCTCCCATAGGATATTAGTACCTACACCGGCTATTAATCTGATAGATTATCAAGGGCCTAGTACAGTTAAGACATGTAATCTATAGAATACAGGGCTGTATTGGAAGAGCCAAGGAACGTAATATAAGATGTTCCATGACTTCAGCTGGACAGTCTTTCTAGTAATGCAAAAACACACTTTCATAGACCATCCACCATTGGTAACCATAACAGTATATAATAACATATTATATAGTTTTATACAGTTGAGGCAAGCTTCCATCCATACCAAAATCTATTACAATACAAATTTCTACAATCATACTAAACGACAGAATGAAAAATCTAAACAAAAAAGCCCAGCTATGAGAAGTACTTGGCAACCTCTCAGTGAGGCACAGGTGGTTTGGCTTGACACAAATGGGAGTAACACCAACGCTCCTAGTCTGATCCGTGTGCCTGGTTATGTCAAACATTATATTATTCCATCTATATCTCCCATTGGTTTTTTCCTTTTATCTATTGTATAGTATAAATGTCCCAGTGAATAACATATGAGATGGGTGGTTAGGAATGTAATTACCAAATAATTTTAAGTGAATTAAAATATGTCATCTGTGAATCTATATGCGCTGATATTAGTTCGGATTTTCACTCGCAGTTTCTAGTAAATGAGTAGTACAAATCTTCAAATTGCAAAACACGTCACATCAGTAGGTTTAACTAGACTGAGAATGCGCATGTTCAGTTGTAATGCCATCATAACTCATGTACCCTATTAGTGGTTTCCAAACGTTAGGAGGACTACGATCTAGACGATATCATCTGTGTACCAACTTTCAGACTAGTACATTATTACAGTAATCTATTCTAATAATTGTCTTCCAATGAATCGCCTATTCGCCATATCAAAGTTTTTAAACACAATTTAAGGTACTTACCCTATTAAATTTAATTCCTATTTCCCGAATAGTCATTTAGTAAGCAATATATCACATTTCAGAAAACAGCACAGTTATCATATCAGAAATCATTCATGATTGAATATCTTTCAACATTCGTTTACTCACAGAGTTCCTGGCTACTTAAGATAGGCTAGTGAGCGTCAACATGCGTTGGAGCAGAGCCAGCTGGGAGGGTTCTGACACGACCATACAGTGTCTCCTATCCTTTTTTATTTTTATTGTATTTTCTTGTTTTGTTACTCTCTCCAAACTCAAGTTGGTTAGTTCCTATCCCCCTTGAGTTTGCGGGGGGCTGTTAAAACCTATCACCTACTTCACCCACTAAACCTAACCCACTACACCACTACCACCTCACCTACTCCACTAAACCTAACCCACTACACCATTACCACCTCCACTTCACCTACTCCACCTACCACCTCCACTTTACCTACTCCATCTACCACCTACTACCACCTACTCTTCTATATATAGGAATCATTGTAACATTCAATAATACAACAATCAATAATACAATCAATATCTATACAATTCTCTATTTCTCTATACATCAATTTTAACACATACTTACATAGCAAGGATCCTCACATTATGAATAGACCTACAACCTCATAGGCCAAGGTATGTGATACAAAAAAACACAAGAACAGTATCATTTATATTTGAAGACCTTCACTGACTTTAGCATTAGAATGTCCTCTGGTCTTGTTTCGCAGCAATTAAAAGATTGATGCATACTCATATCATGTCCAGAACAAAATCAACTTGTTGGTACCTTTTTCCTTCTATAGTTTACTTTTTCTTTATGCTTACTCACCTTTTTCTTTATTTTCTTGTTGGTACCTTTCTTTTGGTTGGTGGCAGGGATTGTCGAAGTGGGGTTCTTAACAAAATAAAATGCTATACATTACTCTAACTAATACATATATTCAAATTCCTAAGAGGCCATAGCCTGCCTATTCTATCTATATGGAGTGTTTAGAGATCGTCTATGCTTACACCCAACTTCCAATTTGTTTAGGGCATTTCAAGATAACCATTAACACTTCTTTTCTAATATACAGGATAGGGGAAAAATCTCTCTAATTGTTTTTATATAATAAAATGTATATATATAACAAATAAATGTTGTTATTATTATTATTATTATTATTATTATTATTATTATTATTATGTATCTAAAACATATATTTTATCTATCGTCTTGTCTCTATTTTTTGAAAATTACTGTATATACCCATGTTTTGTGTCCGCATCTATGCTTCCTAAGTCATAGAAAATGGGTTTCCAAAGTTTTAGGAGTTTCCCATCATATATATAGACTTCCAAAGAAGCAGGTTTTCCGTCAAAATTAAATTTAACCTTAAACAAAATAGAAAAAAGATCCAACTATGTGATAGTTAATTGGAAACAATCAGTTTATAATCTTTCACTCATTCATCAAGTTGCACTGCCAATGTTAAATACATCCACTATATAACTCACTGCTATATGCTTAACATTACCACAACTTTTAACAATTTACAGCTCAACAAACTCTTGGGCACTTGACTATTTGACCACTTAATCAAACTAAGTAAAAACTATTAAAACTTACAACAGAATTAGACTTCCACCTTGTACAAAATACATTCGTTGTTGGCATCAACTCTAATGCCAGTAAATGTTAAATAAGCAAGAAGGTTCAAAGTAACATGGCTTAAAGTCTCCATAAACTTCCGTAAACACATTTTATTTCAAGAAACAGCCAAGTGTAAAAGAGACAATGTTTAAAATCTTGTTCTATATTGCAACTTTCCAAGTAGAATTAAAGTAGCAAAAGATGATATAGTATAGACAATTGTAACAGGCTAAAGAATAGAGGACCAAATATGAATTAACACTAACATCACAATGCAGGCAAAGAATGACCAGAATTGGTAAAGTTATTGGTTTAAGTAATATGCACTGACTTCGCTGCTTGCTTACAGTAGCACTGGCTCTCAAGCCCCTCAACCTTCCAACGATCTCATCCGTTATCTTTTGTTTCAAGTGCTGCGGCAATTCGACGGGGCTTTGTTCACTTAAAAATTCCTTCTTGATTTCTTTTACCTTTTATCACAACAAAATGTTCCTCATTACACTATATTTTATCAATCTAATTAAACTTATCAAAAAAATTGGAAAACATGGTACACAGATTCGCTGAAACCTAAAATGGGTCTTACCAATTTAATTAGCTCTACAGGTTCGGATGCTTTTCGTATTCAAATTGAATCTTCCATTTTCCTAATCTGATCTGGGGTGTACTTGACAACTGTATACAAGAAACTCCTTTTAGAAAAAAAAAATTAATAATAATAATAAATAGGGAATTGGGTATATGAAAAAGCCCCGATTAGAAAATGGGTTGGAGAAATCCAAATAAAAACTAGGCGTATGGAGCTGCAAGAACACATACCGTTTTATGAATCATTATGAGAATAGATGTAAAGCAAAGTGTACAAAGAGTGAAGAACATAGAGAGCAACGCCAATGTTGATTGAGCATACGATGAGAGTGGTTCACTCGTACGAACACCACTTCCCTCTCCCATTATATCCCCACTCACTCCCACCCCTCGCTATCTTCCTTCGTTAACTTCGTCTCCAACCAAGAAATTATTCCAACAAACACACCATTCAGTCAATTAAACAAACACATAAAGTGCATAGTTAAGACTAGTACCAGTAACCCAAAAAACCTACATTGAAGACGACTATATCATACTTACATTTGAACAGAAATGGAGAGAAAAATTAGGGCAAAGATGAACTGTCCATTTTTTGATTTTGTTTCTGACGCATTAATGTGCCTCGCCGCCTGATCTCGCTCATTGCAATCAACCCGTTCAAGATCGCCGTTCTGATGAGTCCGACAGTAGTCTTTTGTAGACAAAGGTTCTGAAACAGTCGAAGGGAGTGTAGGGTCTGGATTTGAACATATGGCTTGTGGAGGGATTGGAGAAAATCGAAGGTAGGGTTAGGGTTTTGGAACCAATGACGAGATTGGAGAAGATGGAGTAGACGACCGATGAAGATCGGTGAAGAGAATAAGAGAAGAGAGAGAGAGCGATAAGGGAGGAGGTGGTGGGGGCGACAGTGGTGGTCGTCGGTGGTGCCACTAGAGGCTACAACGTATGAGGCGGAAGAGATTAGGGCTGAGCAAGGAATCCGTGAAATCCGTAATCCGATCCAGTCCAGTCCAATCCGATAGGTTTGGATTAGTTTTTTGAATCCGCGGTTCGGTTCCGGATTGAAGAATTAAAAATCCGTAGTCCACGGATTGGTTCCGGATTGAACCCCGCGGTTCCGGATTGGAACCGATCCGGACCGTATACAAATAGTCTATATTTTTATTGTATATCCTCCCCCATAGTATCTTCTTTTATTCTATATAAAATCTAAACTCAAACCTAAAACCGTATAATATCTTATTTTATTACTTTTGTTTGTATTTTCTTATGGTTGTTTAAATTCAAGAACAATATGTCACTATTATAGAAAAACATGTTGCTATTATGGAAATGATATAGCGCTATATTTATATTTTTATGAAATAAAAGTGTTATATATATATATATATATATATATTTGTTATTTAATTATGTAATTTTTTGAGGTAGAGGAGAGGAAACGGCAGTAGTGGTAAAGGTGGTGGATAAGAGGTGATGGTGGTGGTGGTGATGGCGAAAGAGATTAGTGGTGAAGTTGTGGTAGTGGTAGAGGAGATGGAGTGGCGGTGGTGGAGAAGAAGTAATGGTAGTAGTAGTGGCAGTAGTGGTAGTGGTGTGGTAGTGATGGTGGTGGTGGTGATGGCGAAGGAGATTAGTGGTGAAGTTGTGGTAGTGATAGAGGAGATGGACTGGCAGTGGTGGAGAAGAAGTAATGGTAGTAGTAGTAGCAGTAGTGGTGGTGGTGGTAGTGGAGTGGTAGTAATGGAAGTTGTAAAGGTGGAGTGGCAACAATGGTAGCAGTGGTGGTAATGGAATGACATTTACAGTAGTGGTGAAGGTGGTAGAAGAGATGAGTGGTGAGAGAGAGAGATAGAGACAGAGACAGAGTAATGAGTGAGAGAGAGACAAAGTGGTAGCTAAAAGTGCATTTTCTTGTAATGGATCGATAAATTGACAGGGAGCTCAGTAAATAGAGAAGAGGGGAGGGAAAAAGTAAGCAAAGCGAACACAGTGGAGGAGAGCGATAGACAGACAGACAAACAAACCAATAGACAGAGAGAGAAAGATAGAAAGAAACAAAAGATAAGCGAGAGAGAAAAAGAGAGCGAAAAAAGATAAACGAGAGAGGGACAGAGAGAGATGAACGAGAGAGATAGAGAGAAGAAAGATGAGCAAGACAGACAGAGAGAGAAGAGAGAAGAGACATAAACGAGAGATACAGAGGGAAAGACAGACAGATAGAGAAGAGTGATGAGTGAGAGAGAGAAAGAGAAGAGATACAGAGACAGAGATAGAAAGACAAGAAGATGAAAAAATGAGTAAAAAGAGAAATGTTATATCAAAAGAGTAAGACAATATCGTTTTTTAATTTTTTTTTTGTGACAGAAAAATACCATCGCATTTATTTAATCTATTTTGTGACTATATATATATATATGAAGCCGTCTCAAAACCACAATATTTTTTTTTTGCAACGATACCTATTACAGTCGCAAAAAACTTATTTCTTTTTTTTTTTTTTTTTTTGCGACTGCAGTTGGTGTCATCGCAAAAACTTTATTTTTTTGAGACAACAATCTTTGCCGTTGCAAATGCTCTCCTTTTTTTTGCAACAGCAATTTCTACCGTCGCAAATACTTTCCTTTTTCATGACAGCATTTTTTGCCGTCGCAAATACTTTCATTTTTCGCGATAGCATTTTTTGCCGTCGCAAATACTCTATTTTTTCGCGACAGCAAGTTGTGCCATCGCAAAAAATCACATAAAAAAATTCCATCTTTTAAGCGCACTTTTCTTGTAGTGTCCCTAACTTTTCAATTGTGACACAGTTGACCCTGAATTTTGAATCTTGTTTTAATAAGGACAATTGAAGATATCATTGTTTAATTTTAAGGGTTAAATCGTCAATTTAATAAAATATAAACTAATTTGACAAAAATAAATGTCAAAAAAATATTTTAAAATTTTAAAAATTATTTATACCCACCAAAGATAAAATTATTTAAAATTGATAAATCTTTTATACATATTTATTTTACCAAATTAATTTTTATTATGAGTTTGGCTGATGATCATGTAATAGGTAGTTGTTAGGCTTTTAATGTGTAATCAATATATTTAATATATGAAATTTTTTAGTTTTGGATTTTTTAATTTAATGAAATTAGTTTAATAATGATATCAAAGTTGCCATCATATTTAACTTTTAAAAAAATAGAAACTAATTTAATGAAAATAAAAACAACCACCCATTACATGATCATCACCCAAACACATGATAAAAATTAATTTGGTAATAAATAAATAAATAAATGTGTAAAAGATTTATCAATTTTACATAATTTTATCTTTAATGAATAGAAATAATTTTTAAAAATTCAAAAATATTTTTTTGACATTTATTTTTGTCAAATTAGTTTATATTTTATCAAATTGACGGTCATACCTTTGAAATTGAGTAATGGTATCTTCAATTGTCTTTATTTAGAACAAGATTCATAATTCAGAGTCAAATGTATCACAATTGAAAATTCGGAGACCAAAGTGACATGAGCCCCAAACTATAGGGACTGTTAGTGTAATTCACCCATAATTTTAAATTTTAAGAAAAAATATTTATATATAGAATGTCAAATAAATAAATTTAACCATATCTAAGCCAAATCTAATTTGATATTTGAAAATCCTTAAAATGAAATTCTAAATTTAATTTTAGTATTATATAATTTAAAATTATAAAAATATATATTTCCAAAATATTATTCATTTTTTTTAAATATTTGAAAAAAAAAACATAATTTAAGACTATTGACTTATCTAAATTCAAAAAAAAAATGTACATAAACTGTCAAAAAAATAAATTTAGCTATATCTTTTTGGTTAGATGGTAATTTTTTTTAGCTATGTCCAAGCAATATTTAATTTTAAATTTAAAAATAAAGTCCAAAAAAATTGAATCAAATATAATTTTAAATTATTTTTTAGCTGTAAATCATAATTTATCAAACGGTAAAAATCATAATTTATCAAATGGAAAAAAATTTCAAGTACACATGTCAGAATCTTATTGAAAAAATAAAAAAGTTCAAAATTTTGAAGTACAGTCACACCACTCACACCATTTACACCGAATTTTTTAACTAATAGGGAGGCTTTGTACGGCTGGTGTGAGTTCATTGTTTACCATTACAAAATGCCTCGCCAAGCCTCTTTCCGTTTCTATACCAAGAATGTTTTCCTCACCTACCCACAATGCCCTTGTCCAAAAGAATAACTCTTGGAACTCCTCCAATCCCTTTTCTAACTAGCCTGTCAGCCATACCACATACTTGTCACAAGGGAGCTCCACGAAGATAGAAACCCTTACCTTCATGCCATGGTTCAATGCACGAAGAAAATTCAAACCTCCAACCCGAGATTTTTCTATCTCACTGGAACCAACGGGAGCATCTATCATCCAAATATAGAAAAACTCCATTCTCCAACAGCAAGTCGACAGTATCTATAGAAAGGGGGCGACTTCAAAAAATGAGGAGAATTTTCATCTAAGGGGAAAGTCCTTCGAAGAATAGAGATGAACTCTGGCGGGGAATACTTGCAGAAGCAGAAATGGAGGAACAATTCTTTGCACTCTGTAAAGAAAGATGTCCAGCTGATTGCGTCACAAAATACCCACAATTAAAAACATTTTGGAGAGATCATTACAAACCAGAGCGGCTCCCATATACTAGCCCATTTAATTTATTTCTTTTTTTAAATGAAGAAGTAAAAAAATGGGCAGAAAATAATATTTTGTTTGTAAGTCAGAATTTTGTAAAATACAAACTATGTCAAAATTGTTGTTTCTCTGTTTACAGTGAAAACGACAACATTAGATTAGGGATACACAGGATTAATACACGACTTATAAACTGACAAAGAACTTTCCTCCTCCTCTGATAACAGGATCTAGAATAGCGGCCTATCCGCTCAATCTCCCTCTACCTCGAAAGACCCTCAAGAACAGGAAAAACCACCTGGGCCAGAAGTCTCAGACGACACAATTACTTCTTCGGCAGAATAAGCTTCAAGGACTACTATCAAGAAGCCGTCTACAATGTCATAGACGACATCAAATACTCGATAGTCCCTACCAAATTAATGAAGAATTTAGTAGGTTGCTAGAAAGACTTCCATGTATATGTTAAATTCTAACCAGATCTCACTATTAGAGGAAGAATTCCATGTATTATATTAACTAATAGGGGACAGTAGTTGGTTAGATCCAATGTCCCCAAAAATGAGAGAATGGTTTGATATCAATGTAACAACTTCATGATTAATGAAAAATTTTATTAATTTTATTTATGAAACAACTCAAACTTTTATTTCCTTACTACATTTTCCTTATCATCAACTATTACATCTTGAGTCACATCACTATTTTTTACACTCACTATTACATTTCGTAAAACATCAGAAAATTCTGTTAGATCCATAACAATTGATCCTCTCCGATCAACTTCTTCTTTTCTAACACCAACCTCCGAAATCGACGGACCAAGATCAACATCACTAGTTCCATCACCACCTCTGCGTACATCAATCTCAGACAAGCTCAGACAACCTCTGCGTTCATGAATAACTGAACCACTTTTCCCAAAACCTCCTAACAACAAATATCTTCGCCTCTCTGGTAAAGCCACAAACATAGTCCGTGTCAGAATCGGAATAGCCTTGGTTGGAGCGCAATGCCAAACATCAACATTATCATTAGTATATTTTTTAAATAACACAACAATAGATGAGGCCCTCATTTGCAAATCTTTTGGCATGTCACTCGTAGAATACTTCAAATACCCCTTCATTTTACAATACCT